GCCTCAAAGCAGGCGAGTTAAATTGACAAGAGAGTGGTTCATTTCACTGCGGTTACTGCTGCTGCTACTTGGGACAGCAATGAGCAGTTATAAAAACAGCCACTGGATTTATCCATGGAAAGGAGGATGTAAAAACCAGAGGTGGGGAGAGGTAGAGTAGCAGAAACATCTCCCCTCTTCCCTCCTTGTACCAGCCAAGATGACATGGAAGATAGGTAGAGTAGTGGCAACCCTATACTCTCCCAGTAGCAGCAGGCTCTTGAGTTACTATTCAATGTGTGCAGCTAAAATAGAATAGAGCTTCAAATTTATCAGACATGTAACAGCCAGAGGTGGATATGAAAGATGGAGCCTCCAAGCAGGATCCAGGGCTAGCACCCTGGTAGAGTCCAAGAAGTCTCCCTTCTTCTCAGCAGTTGGGGGAGGCAGGGAGAGCAGATCTGAGCTTCTTACCAAGGTATGGACCTTGCTGGTATCCCAGTGCAACCATAACCACCCTTGTCTTTCTTATCCGGCTCTGGCTAGTGGAGGAGGTGCTTTAGTCCTCAGGATACCAGTCTGGTAAATTTCTCAGACCTGGCCACAGAAATATAAAGAGTTTTTGCACTGTCCCTGAAGCAATGAGTGGAGCAGTTACTTCTGCTGAACGCTAAATAAGAGTCATGGGGCAATACTACTAGTACTGAATTATTTATGTACTGCAACATGGGAATTTGAGGTCATGACTCTGAGAAGAGGAGATTCTGGGTCATCCATATATGCTCCAGAAACAGATTCTGGCTTTTAAAAACAACAACTGAGCTTCCTATTTTGTTGTCATCAAGGATCCTGTAACTGGCTCTCTTCATTTAAATGAAGACACGGCCATATGTAATTTAAAACAGAAAAAAATTGCCATCATCCCTGCACATGTGTTTGCAGGGAAATCCAAGAGAAAACACTGGTTAGACAAAAATGTTAGAAATCAGCAGCAGTTTATATCTAGAGCACACCATGCATTAGTGATGACTGCATAACTCCAGAGTGGTGAGGTGAGACCAAGCCACGAGTCAGTTGTTCATAGTTAGGTAGAAAGATTTTTTAAAAATTCTAAAAGTCAACTCATTTGAAATAGTCCAACTGCTTCCACAGTTTTGGGTGTATTTTAGCTTCTGCTTATCCAGACATGTTATTTTTACAAATCAACCATAATATTGTCATTGTGTTTGCTTATTTGAAAACCACAGAGGCACCACTAATTACTTTACAGGTATCATCCTGGGGCCTTATAAGAAAACCAAGATCAAATTTTCAGTTGTGAGATGCACATGCATATAGCCCAATGAAGAGTCAGCCGCTTGTTTCCTATGGTAGTGCTGCATGCATAAACCAGCCATTCTATCCAAAGCCACACATGAGCCTGTTACGTACAGAAAAGCTTCTTCTAAATGGGCTAATGCTGCTGCTGGAAAAGATAGCTGAGAACTTTCTCAGTTCTCACATGGCATCTGTACACTGCTCTGTTAAACCACCCTCTGTAGCTTTTCATTGCAAATTGTATTTTAGGGTTTGATCCTGCTCCTGTTGAAGTCAATGGGAATCTTGTCATAGACTTCAGTGGGGCAGAATTGGGCCCATCTTGAGCTATTTCTGGGAATGTTCTGATTTCTGTTTAAACTGTCATTCACCTCACTCGGAAGATTTTGGTGGGATGCACACCCTAATATTTAATGTAAACTGACATCTGTCCAGTGCATTATTCCAGATGTTAAACACAACTTAGATTGACATGGCCCCAAATGTATGTATATACCTGACTACACTGTTTTTTCCTCACTATTCCATCATTCAGCTGTAGTTCTCAGGGACAAAAGGTGCACAGTTCTATTCTATAAATTTACATTATGTTTAGGATGCAAACAGCAAAATTCCATAGACCATGCATCCCCCTATCAGTTGGAGATATGCTTCATAATATTTAAACCTGTGTGCCATGTTGATCAAATTTAGGTTAAACATCTATGAGAGGTATAATCTTTATCAGCTACCACATTATAATAATAAAAGTCAAACAGTTCTTTAAAATGCACTGGAAATCAAGCTTTTCAAGCACTCAATCTGCCATTCATACCCCTCATCCACACGCAGGTGATTCATTTTTACCAGTACTTATCTAAATAAAGCAAAGGAGGCATCAAAGGAATGGAAATGACAAGAATAACTTAGACAAGTCTAGCAACACTGCCTATTATTCCAATGGGTACAGGAGTACACTAGCAAAAATAACGTCGGGGGAAGCGTTGGATTTCAAAACACCTCCAGTTAGTGGGAAGATAGACCATTATTGGGGCCCAAGTCCACATCCCCTAAAGTAAAGGGGACTCATTAATGGGAGTTGGATCATGCCCTACACTTATAAATTACAGATTGCTTTAGCTGGCATAAACGGGTATAGCTGTGCTGAAGCCAATGGAGCTATGCAATTTACTGCAGTTGATAATCTAGTCCTCCTAGAAACAAATATACAGTACAAGAATCTATTCCTGATGCGACTGCTTTTGGAACCCTGTATTGTACAGACACAAATGACCAAAGTTCAACAATTAGAACCAAAGGATCTGTGCTCAAATTCAGACACTGCAACTTACTTAATAATGCAAAGCTTTTCCTTTCAGCAGTCAAGTTTTTGGTTGGGGGCTCCTCAGCAGGTGTGAATCAGGATAGCTCTGTTGACTTCACTGGAGCTATAGCAATGTGCGCCAGCTGAGAATTTGGATCTCAGAATTTATGTATGAGAGGCAGTTAGAGACAGAAGATATATTTTATTTTAAACTCCTATCAAATACAGAACTCCTCTTTGTGCCGCTTTACATTTTTTTCTCTGCATAAGAAGCTAAAATTTCCACTCCCCAAACTATGTGGTTCACATTTTTATTTCAAGGTTTAAAATGCGGTCAGGGTTTTTTGATAAACACAGTAAATGAATTTTTAATTAAGATGATTGAAATTAAGCATTATCTGCCAAAGACACTTGCTTCTTCCCATGAGAGTATGTTCCAATGCATTTTTCAGAAGTAGTGTCCCATTGTTTTCAAGTTTATATTTGAGAACTCTAGGAACACGCAACATTCCAGCACTAGACAACGTTCTAAGGTACTAGCTCACCAGAAATTGAAATCAGCTAGGGACATTCCATAAGGAAAAGTGACATGGAAATCTGACCTTTATATTTCCAAATGGACTCATATTAAGCACCACCCCAACGTATTAAATTTGTCTCCTACAGTTTCTCTATTAAAAGCATTAAGCATGTCATATTTTAAAATAAAAATGACACTAAGATACCTCCCTAACATCCTCCCCCCCCCCCCCGACACACACAGGACAGGACCTGTAGCTTGAGTTATTTGGAAAATACCCTGACATTGTTTGCCCCCACATGCTATTTTGGCATCTCTGTCAGGGGCATTTACTAAGAGGCAAAGTGGGAACAGGCCAGTTGTTGCTTTTGTAACTTCTCACTTCAATGTCCTGACAGTGTACCTGACAGCAGGCTCGGGACAGTATAGGGGCCAAGGGGAGAATTTTTCAGTGGCCCAGACAGAGAATTTGGGCTTAGTTGTTTGGAGCCTAGTGTACCCTAGGACATGGGGGTGAGAGGGTGCAGAGAAAAGCACAGGGAGAGGGCCAGAGGGAGAGAAGACAGCTCTTCAAAGGTGGGAGCCGTGGAGAGACCTGCAGGGTGGAGAGGACAGGAGAGGCTGAGCCTGTGTTCCCGGGCCAGGGCACTGGACTTTGCATTCCGGAGCCTGGCTGAGTATTATGTGGGGGGAACTGTCCAGCAGCCCGGGTGCTGAATGACAAGCAGAGGGGAGTGGGATGAGTGGCAGCAGAGAGGAGAGTGCCCTAGGGTGCGGGGCTGTGGGTCCCTCGAAGGACGAAGAGTGCCCCACACCTGAGTGTGTTCATCTGCTGGGGCACATGGAAGGGTGGGAGGTGGGGAGTGGGAGGTCTCCCCCTCCCCATGGCTGACTCACTGCCTCTCTCACCTGTGCATGTTCATTCACCAGAGAGGGCAGGGAGTCCTGGTGGGGGCAGGTGAGTGTGTGTGCATCAGTGGGAAGGGGGGAGGTGTCTCTGAGCTGCAGATGTTCAACCCCAGGGCAGGCTGGGGGCTTAGGGTAAGTGTATCCCAGCTGGTGGGTATCCCAGAGGGGGCGAAGAGGAGAGGTTCCTTTGGCCTGGGGTCTCACCTCTGGTTGATCATCTCTGGGGTATGCTTTGTGGAGGGAGGGTTGGGGTGGGTTCCCCATATAGCTGGTGAGGGGGTTCTGAACTGTGGAGGATCATCTCCAGGGTGAGGTTGAGGGAGGGGTGTCCTGGAGGGAGCAGGGTGTGTGTGTGTGTGTGTATTAGTGGTGTCCCAGAGGGGGGCATTCTGGAGGAGCCAGGCTGTGAGGGAGGGCACTCCCCTGTGGATGTTCATCTCCCAGGGTGGACTATGTGGGGAGCTACAGGGTGTCCTAGAGGGAGTGGACTGTGTTGGAGGTTGGGGGCTGTCCCAGAGGGGGGCTGGCTGTTTGGGGGGTTAGGGGAGTGTCCCATAAGGGTCTCACCTCTGGATGTTCATCACCCAGGGTGGGCTGTGTGGCACTGTCCTGGAGGGGTAGGTGAGGTATCCCAGATGGGATCTCACCTGTGGATGTTCATCTCCCAGGGTGGGCTGCATGAATGCCAGAGGGTGTCCTGGAAGGATGTCCCAGCGTGGGAGGGGATGTCCCGGAGACCTCTCAGCGGCAGATATTCATCTCCGGGGGCAGACTGTGTGGGGACTGGGGGTATTCCATAGAAGGCAGGCTGGGGGGAGAAGGGGGCAGAGGGTGTCCCTGACAGGGCGGGAGGAAGGCTCTCCCCTGTGGATGGATATTCATCTCCCGGGGCGGGCTATGTGGGGACTGGGGGTGTCCTGGAGGGGGCGGGCTGCAGCGGAGATTGAGGGATGTCCCAGACGAAGCTCTCACCTGTGGATGTTCATCTCCCGGGGCGGGCGCCGCGCCTTGTCGTAGGCCACCTTGGCGAAGACGCCGGCCACCAGCACGAAGGCCACGGCGCCGCAGGAGATGTAGACCGTGGCGTTGGTGCTGTCCTTGGCCGGGTCGTACTTGTCGGGCTGATTGCCGTCGGGCGGCGCGGGGCGCAGGCCGGGCGTGGTGATCCAGCCGGGGCTCTGGTAGTTGCGGCACTGGCCCTGGTCGAGCTTCTCGGCGCGCTTGTTGCAGCAGAAGCGGTAGTAGCAGGTGCCGCAGCAGTAGCGGAACCCGCTCTGGCTGTTGTTGCACTCGAACTCCTTGTCCCACTGCCCGCTCACGTCGTAGTAGCCCCAGCACGTCTCGTAAGCCGGGCCCGGGGCCGTCCCGCCGCCGCCCCCGCTCACCGCCACGGGCGCTGCCGCCGCCCCGGGCCCGGCCAGCGTCTGGTTCAGCTCCTTGGGCGGGCGGGGCGGCCGGCGGGCCGCGCCCTGCGTCCGGTTGCCCTTGGCTCGGGGGGGCCCGGCGGCGGGCGCGGCCAGCAGCAGGGCCAGCAGCTGCAGGGCCAGCAGCAGCAGCGGCAGGCGGCCCATGGCGGGGAACTGGGCGGCGCGGGCCGGTCGGCTGGCGGAGCGGGCGGAGCGATCAGGGGCCCCGGCGCCGCCGCCCCATGGGGGGCCCCGGGCACAGCAGGTGCCGCCGCCCGGCCTCGGCGCTTCACGGGCGGGCGCCAGGCTCCGACACCCCGCTCTGGAGAAGCCCCTTCATCCCGACAGGAAGCGAGAGGTTCTGACCGGAGCCCTGGCCGGCTGCTCGGCGGAGATCGGCGCGTCCAGTTCCAGCCGCTGCTCCTCGGGCCACGGGCTGGGGAGAGACGGAAGAGGGGGGTCAGAGACGGGGGGTCAGACGGGGGGAGGTGGAAAGTCAGAGCCTGGGGAGTGCGGGGGGGGGGAGAGGGGATGGTCAGAGAGCGGGATCTGCGGGTCCGGGGGGGGGAGGGAGCTGGGGAGTTGGGGAGCCGGGGACCAGTGGAGCCGGTTGAGGATCTGGGAAGCTACAAGGGGGAAAGAGGGCAGAGAACAAGAGCTGCACCACCGAGCACCCAGGGGATGAGGGGACCCAGCCCTGCCCCAGGGAGGACTCCGCACTAAGGAGAAGGGTTTGCGGGATGGGGGGAGTCAGAGCGGAAGGGGAGCAGATGGGGCAGAGGGGCGCTAGATGCACGGGGAGCTGCTGGGTGCAGAGACTCGGGGAGGCAGGGGCCGGGGCCAAAGGCAGGCGGGGTGTGCGGGGCACGAGGGTGCTGTGGTGGGTAGGGGAGGGTGAGCTGGGGCAGAAGGCGGAGGGAGGCAGGGTAGGGCAGGGAGACGGGGTAGTTAGCGGTAGCTGGGGGTGGTTGGGGCAGGCGGCAGAGACCGGTGCCTGAGGCGCTGGGCTCGGCAGCGCGGGGTGGAGGATGCCCGACTGGGGGATCCCCTGACTCGCTGCCCCCGGGCGCTCCGCATTGCCCCTACCAGCCGCAGAGGCAGGCTCGGCTCCCCCAGTCCCCCTGCAGCCCGCCCGGGCAGAGCCCGCGTCCCGCTTACCATGCCGCCCGGAGAGGACTGCAGCGGGCTCGGCTCGGCGGCGAGTGGCGGGGGGAGCGGGCGGCTGCCTGCGCTACAGGCGGGAGCGGAGCCGAGCGCCCAGCCTTAGGTCCGCCCACCGCTGCCAGGCTCGCTCCTGACATCACTCCGGGCCCGCGTCACCGGCACACGGGGCGCTGCTTAATAAACATGGGCCCAGGTGCGGTGGCCGGGCCGGGGCAGCGTGCGCCCCGGGGGTCCCCTGCCCGGGCTCTGGGCTCCCCCGGGGGGCGGAGGCGGGCGAGCGGCACCCGTCCCGGCAGAGCGGTGTCAGGGCAGCCACAGGCTCCCGGTGTGCGGCTGGGGCTGCCTGGCCCGAGGGGTTGTCCCGGGGTCCGGGCTGTGCAGCGCTGGGAACGCTGGAGAGGGCAGGTGGGGAGAGACATCCACGCGCACCCGGGGCTTGCCCTGACCATCTGGGCATGGGAGGAGCGGCCGGGGCTGGGCTGGAGCCCGCAGTGACCCCCGGACTGGAGAGACTGTCCCGGGACCCAGCCACTCTGCACAGGACAGGGTCTTGCACACCCGTGCCCAGCCAACCAGAGCAGGGAGGCTGTGAGCACAGCGCTGACAGGTAGCTGTGAGGGGAAGGGTGGCTGACGGTTACCAGTTACTGGAGGTCATTCCCCATTGGGGCTGGGTGGGACCCTCCGCCCTTTGCTGGTTTGGTTCCCGATGGGCAGGCCCCCTCACTGCAATGTGTTGGCAACCTCAGCTGAAAGCCCATGGGTTGAGTGGAGGTGGGGACTGTGCTATGGGCTTCTCCTAGTCATGGTGCAGCTGGGGGGGCTGCTGGGAGAAACTCAGTTTGCTCCTCACCTTGTTCTGTGAGGGCACCTGCTGGGGGTTCGCCAGCACTAAACTCCTTTCATTGCAAACCATTATTGACCCTATGGATTTCTGTTCTGACAGGAGCCAATGTCGTTACTGGTCTAGTGGGAGTCTTCCCAAGCCAACCTGTATTACTGGATTTATCCATCATAGTGAGAGAGCCTTTAGTGCCAGTGGAAATGCTGGATTGACAGCTCAGGATACCAATGGCCTCAGAATAGGTGTGACATGGGCAGCAGCAACAATTCAAGCTTCCCCACCTCCACCCATCAGTTTGTGTCATCCTGGCGAGAGAGGGGCAGGGGAGGGGGTGGTGTTTATGTGTGATGTGACACTGGAATGTGGTGCCCTTCTGTGCTTGACTTGCCCTCTGAGATTTAAGAAGGGCCCCAACTATGGTTTTGTACTGGAGAAATCTGCCCTTGGGGAATGTGAATTGAATCCCCAACTGTGTCCATACAGGCCATTGCACAGCAATCATTACTGTGACCAAGGCAGATACTTAGAGGTGAGAGGGTTTGTATCCTATTTCCATCCCCAGGAGCCATCCAGTCCCCTCCTCAGAATTTGCTCTGACTAGGTCACTGACATTGTGCCTGTACCAAAAGTTGACCTCTCCCCCCATTGAAAACTAACTCAAACACCTTTAAAATATTTTCTTAAGATGCAAAAGAAATCAGCAGCTTTAAGGACACTCAGAGGACACTGGAGAGGATCATAACAAAGAGAAACACAGTGTATAGTGGAACTGAAGTGCTATCCTGAGAGCTGTACACAAGCAACAGAGAGCTGTCCTCTGTTGGAGAGAAGGAGGAAGAGAATGGTGAGAGAGAGGGGAGGATGCTTAGAAAAGGTCCAGAAGATTCATTCGCCATGGCCTCATACTTTATAGGCAGGGCCCTACCAAATTCACGGCCGTGAAATCTGGTCTTTTGTGTACTTTTACCCTATACTATACAGAGACTGGTGTTTCTCACACTGGGGGTCCTGAGCCAAAAGGGGGTCATGGAGGAGTCACACAGTTATTGTAAGGGGGTCATGGTGTTACCAACCTTACTTTGGCACTGCCTTCAGAGTTGGGTGGTCAGAGAGTGGCATCTGCTGGCCAGGTGCCCAGCTCTGAAGGCAGCGCCCTGCCAGCAGCAGCGCAGAAGTAAGGTTGGCAATACTATACTGTGCCATCCATACTTCTGCATTGTTGCCTTCAGAGCTGGACAGCTGGAGAGCAGTGGCTGCTGGCTGAGGGCCCAGTTCTGAAGGCAACAGCACAGAAGTAAGGGTGGTAATACCATATCATGCCATCCTTACTTCTGCACTTCTGCTGGTGGCAGCACTGCCTTCAGAGCTGGGCGCCCAGTCAGCAGTCGCTGCTCTCCAGCCACCCAGCTCTGAAGGGAGCACTGCCAGCAGCAGCACTGAAGTAAGGGTGGCAGTAGGCACGACACCCCTACAATAACCTTGTAACAACCCTCCACAACACCCTTTTGGGTCAGGACTCCTACAGTTACAACAACATGACATTTCAGATTGAAATATCTGAAATCATGAAATTTATGATTTTTAAAGTCCTATGACCATGAAATTGACCAAAATGGACTGTGAATTTGGTAGATCCCAATTTATATGTCATGTCCCCTGGGCATCATGGGTGTGTAGCATCCACGGATCGGGGGATAGCATTTTACATCCACGTTGCACAGTTGTAAAGATTTATACGGGATATAAGGCCATGGAGAATCAGGCTCTGAATCTTGCACTAGAGGGTCTGAGCAGGGAAGGAGCTGGATAAACATTTTCTGTGGCAAGGACACAGTTCCCCTAAGGAACAGGGTCTGGTGAAACATTCCCAGAGTGGGACTGGGAGATCCTTACCTAGCATTGGTTTCCCAAAGCGAATATCAGATTCCATAGCTTGGGCCTTTCCCTCAGACTCACAGCAGTACCCACCAGAGCCTGCAGATTACAAGGGAAATGGCTGATGTGCTCATAAGAGGAAATGACCCTACGATCAGGGTCCTGGAGCCCAGAACAGGCTCTGCTGTGAAAGGAATGGTTTAGGTAAGATAATCATGGCTGTAGCTCTGCTTTCCTGCAGCCATTGCTACTTGGGGTTCGATACAGGATCTGCAGCTGGACCAGCACTTCCTCTCCCACTTGGAGCCTCCTCCACCCCAGATTGTCATTTTTTAAGGGTTGAAACCTAATGCCAGGCTGCCATTCCTACTTCATGGAGCTCCATTGCTCCAACAAGCTCCATTGCTCCTAGCTCCTCCAAGCTCCAGGGCCCTGATCCAAAGCCTATGGAAAAGCAGGACCTTTTGGTCAGGTCCCAGCCTCAGCTGTTTGCAAGTATTTTGTTTGTTTTATTTTGTTTCCTACCCAGGGAACTTCAGTGTTCTGTTCTTGTTCAAAGGTCTGGCTGCACATTAGACTCCGTCTGTAAGTAACAGCTGGCATTGCTTTCGCTTGGGTGTTTCCTTGCCTCCGTGAACTTTGGAATGTCAGGAACCATACCTGTCACTGTTTGAAGACTCTCACTGAGGCTGAGGCAGGAAACCTCTTGTTGGTGCAAATTAGGGAGCTGTAACTTCTTCCTGATAGGGCCTTTCTCAGCCCTTCTGAGTCCTAGAGCAAAGGAAAGTGCAGATTCAAGGAACAAGAGATGCCATTCCTCACAAAGAGCCCATCATTTCCAAGGTGAAACATTTAAAATGTAGCCTAGCAAGGCTAGGACATGCCTTTATTTCCTGCTCTCTCTAAGACTACTCACTAACAATACAATAGAACAATGGTTTTGAACCTGTGACCCCTGAGGGTCCACAGACTCTGTATAAGGGATCCATGGAAGGTTGTCATTACCATAGAACAGTGGTTTTCAACCTGTGGTCCGTGGACTCCTGGGGGCCCACAGAGTATGGCTAAGATTTCCAAAGGGGTCTGCACCTCCATTCAAAATTTTTTGAGGTCCATGAATGAAAAAAGGTTGAAAACCACTGCTATAGAATATGAATTCAGAAAAACAATGAATTCAGAAAAACAATGAACAGATAAAGGAGCCTCTCTGCTCATCTTACATCCAATACCAGGAAGGGATCATGGCTGGAGTTAGATGGTTGTTCAGATGATGACAATAAATCCTTATTTGACATGCAATGTGCAGAGAGCATCCTTTGAGACTGAGCAAGACTCTAGGTCAAACAGGCAAGAGAAGTATGGTCTGGTGTATCAGGCCCTGAATTGGCTGCAAGACATCTGGGTTCAGTTCTTGGTTCAATGTGCCTTTGGGCAAGTCACTGCAGCTACCTTGTGCCTCAGTTTCTCATCTGTAAAATGGGGGAATATCCTCCTACTTCACCGGGCTGGTGTGAAGATTAACTGTCTTAAGTCACTCAGATGCTATGGTGATGAAGGCCAGATGGCTAGAAGGAACTTCATGTTCAGTAACTTCTATTTAATCATTTGTCAGCTATGCAAATTAGCAAATCAAAATAGTTTACTTTTTGCCTGCGTATCTTCCTGCCACCTGTTGGAACTTGATGACTTGTAAGGAATTTGTAAGGATCACAATGTGCTCCCAGGCTGATTCTTTCCTGCCAAAGGATTAAACTGGAACCATGGATTTTTACTAAAATGAGCACAGCACTTTGGACATAAATTTTTCTTCAAAAATGAATGTATCCATAAGACACCAAGATTATGGTTATTTAGGGTAATTGTGACTAAACTGAGCACCCTCTTGTTTGCATAGATGTGGGCTTGTTTTGTAAGTTGTAGAGAAAGGATGGGTGTGATTGTGGTAGCACTTACAAGCTCCCATCATAGACCAGGACCCCACGGTGCTAGGCACCGTACAAACACAAAACAAAAGATGGTCCATGCCCCAAAGAACTGACAATGAAAGTATAATACAAGAGACAGCAGCTGGCTATGGGCAGACCAACAAGGGAGTACAAGGAAACAATGAGACAGTGCTCTCAGCTCACCTATGGAGAAACATAGTAACATAGAAATTGCCAGACTGGATCAGACCTTCTAGTCTGATGTCCTGTCTCAGAGAGTGGTCAGTGTCCTGGCTGGAGGTTCAGCAATGTAGTTGAAGTTGCAGCAGGGATGCTTTAATCTAGAGAGAATTAGTCACTGCAATTAAACAGCAACTTGCTTAGAATAAGTCACCACACTCTCTTTGTGGGCCATTCACAAACAGAACAAGGGGAAACTCATCCAAATAGTGATTGATTGCCTGTTATTCACCCG